ACAACAAATGAAAACCTTTTCCTCTTCCAATATTTCTCTCTTGGTCCCAAGAGTTGAATTTAGAACAGTTAAAAATTTTAATATATGAAGCAATCAGAACATTCGCTTAGGAATTATATGAAATCCTTGTTTCACCGCATGCATCTTACTCTTGCAATCCTCATCTTAAATACAATTCCTTATAGCAAATACAAACTGATTAAGTGTAGATCAAGACATATACACTAATCATAATGTAGTCAACGTTATAGCTGATTATATTATATATTGGGATTAGTGTAGTGCATGTGTTTCTCAAAATTTTTTGAGAACTGTTTAAAAAGTAAAATCTCAACTTTTAGTTGATTGTTTCAAAAATTAACTATTAAGTTAAAAGTTAATTATATTTATGTAGGTGAATTATGTATATTAATTTTTATTTTCATCTAATATTTATAATTTTTTGAATAAAAAAACTTTATTTGTTAATGTATATTTAACTATGTTAAATTTTATGTAATTGATAAACTAATCATGCTCATGATTAGATCAATACGAAAAAATTGGTATGCATAATTTAATAATTTATATAAATAAAATTTTTAATTCAAAAATTAAATTTTAAAAACATTAATTTAAAATATCTAGTTTTTCAAGAGAGCAGTGATAGGGGCACTTGCTCCCTGCGGTCTCCGACCAACATTGCCCCTTTCATTGGGCCACGTAAGGTTGTTTTAAACTTTGAAGTGCAACCTCTGACCAACTAAAACAACGTGGCCCAATGAAAGGGGCAGTGTTGGCCGGAGACTGCAGAAAGCGAGTGCTCCTAGAACTTCTCTTTTCAAGATTTCATTAAAAAAAATGGTGCTGACAACACTTTTCTCTTCTATATTTTAGGAGTCATTTAGATTGCTAATGGGGTTTTGACATAAGGTAGGAACTGGCATTTCCTTTGTGTCCCGTTGGTGATCATTGCAACCTAACAAAATTATTGGTAGATTGCATTCTTAATAAATGGTTGAATCTTATTAAAAAATAAAGTATTAATTTTTAATTTTTAACTTTTAACTTTTAACTTTAATAATTGTTCTCGTAAAAAAAAACAAAAAAAAAACAAAAGGCAAGCACTGACCAACCTGAAGGTTGGGTGATGGTACTTAGGACGAATACACAGGACGAACATGGCCTGCCACATCATTATTTTTTATTTTGACCGACTCCCTGCGTCTCTCATTTCATCTCTCTTATTTCCCTCATTCATTTTCTCCATTTTTGCCTCCAGCTCCTTCTCCATGGTATGACTCGATTCAAAACCATCTGCATTATTTGAAACTCTATATGGCCATTGTTTTTAATTTTTCTTTTATAAAAAGAAAACTAAACCCTAAACTATTGGGTGAAATTGAACCCTAAAAATGTATTTAAGTTTTGCAAAGGAAATACAACAGAAAAAGGAAGAAGATTTGAGAGAGTTAGGATTGATCACTATTTGAGGTATAATCTAGGTGGAAATAGTTCCTCCATGCCCCCTGTTAAGTGAATAAGTATTTACTTATTTGGATTAATTATTAAAATGTAATATAATGAAACCAATACCATTTCAAGACCAGTGCTGGAAATGGGTGTGGAAACTGCGCTGTTTTGAGAGAGTTAGGATGTTTTTTTTCTTTTTTTGAGAGAGAGTTAGGATGTTTGTTTGGTTCCTTTTGAGAAATAGAGTCCTCACTAATGCTGTTTGCTATGAGCGTCACTTGGCTACTTCCTCTACATGTCCCCGCTGTGAGGAGGACTCTGAAACGACTTTGCATCTCTTGTAGGATTGCCCTTTTGCTGTACAAGTATGGACCGTGCTGGGTTTGGCAGATCATGCTTTTTTTCAACTGAGTTAGCAGCAATGGATTCGACGTTCCTCTCAAAAAGTCTCTAAAGAACGTGCTGGAGATATGTCTTATGACGTCGTCTTCCTCTCTGCTATTTGACAATCATGGAAGTGCAGGAACCGGCTGGTATTTAAGGGAGAACACTTACCAGCAGCTACACTTTGTGATGTAATCAGTGGTTATGCACAGGATACATATAAAGTAATGGCTTGCAACGTTTTTGTTAAATTCCAATCTCCGAGATCGATAAGTTGGCAACCACAAGTCCCTCGCTTTTGTAAGCTAAATACTGATGGGTCTAGATTGCAGGAGACTGGGCTTGCTAGTGTTGGTGGGGTAGTTCGAGACCATTTAGGAGCTTTCATTCAGGGTTTCTCAGTGAATATTGGAATGGTTTCCATTTTCATTGCTGAGTTATGGGGAT